ACAAGAAATGATAATCTTGTTCAACAGAGCAATTGAATTTTGCAGAATTCCTCTAGTGTGCCCTAAAATGTCACAGTTCACTATAGTACTGTGCAATGTGAAGAAGTTGCTGCCTTTTATGTTATACAGAAACCTTTCAAAAAATGCCTGATTTTTACCCTTTTTCATTCCAGAGAGCTTTCAAAACCCAAGCAGATAAAGTTTACAGCAGCTTGATATCATCTCATAGCTATTCTTTGAGCAGGAGCTTTGATTAGAGAGCATGTGAGCTTCCTCAGAACAATAAATTATCCTCTGATCAGGTTAAATAACATTCAAACCCAATAATTTTTTATAAAGCAATATGCACCCCAGGGCTACCTAGTAAGGAAGCATGACTCTATTATAAACATCCAAATACTAGGATTTCAGTTTAAATTCAAATTAGAAAACATCCCAATAATTTTCAACTCAAAGATTTTCCTTAAAGCCAAGTAAACAGTTTTGCCTGATTCACAAAGTACCTGTACTATAACACAACAGCAATATTTAAGCTTGTAGAAGTGAGTAGTTTTAATACACACAGTGAAAAAATCTACTGAAGAGATTTCTATATACAACTTTTAATGAAAACTCAGAGAAAGAATATGACCTAGCAGAAAGACTTTTTGCTTTAACTTTGTTGTACAGCATTGGATTTACATGCAGCATTATTAAATTATTATCTATCTAGACAATAACAAATCTAAGATATAGGCATCATTCTAATTAATTCCATTTTCACTAAGGCAATGAGTCAAAATCCCCTATTAAAAATTTGAATACAAAACCAGGAGTTTTAACTAACAAGAAACAAACACACACTTTATATATTGTCTGATCAAAACATTATGCAATAGAAATTCCAAGTTTAGGTATTACAAAATAAAATGAGGTAACAGGTACAGGTCAGGGTTGACAGGAAATTGAAGACTTTCAAAGTTTGTCCAGAAGAATTCTCTTATATTTTCTTTCTGAAAATGTGTTTTATCAGCTTCATAAGGTGTCAAAAATGGAATAAAGCTTGTTATAAGCAAATGTATTTTCTTCAAGAGTGAAAGAGCAAGTTTGACAGTTATCAAAAAGCAGCACTTGCAAAGTTCACCAGATACACTATTCAGCCTTAGAATATAATTCAAGTATTAAAACTGAATAGTTTAATAAAAGTTTTAATCCTCATGGTACATAGTAGACAATTCCTGGTCATGTGAAAATTTCAAAAGTCAATCACATCTGTAGTAGTCAAAAATTTTTAGCAACTTTTTTCTCTCCAAACCCCACTTTATAATCAACAATTTTCAGTTGGAGAAAAAGACAAAAAAATCACAAACTGAAGAACGTGGAAAATATTTTAAACAGGAAATATATCTGAGGAAACGAAATTTTACTTAAAAACAGAAATATGTATATAGAACAAAAACATGTATATTTTTTAGTCTTAATTTAAATGTTAGATTTGATTACCTACATCCTGCTAGAAAAAAAGTCTTCTTGGACTAGATATTGTTCAGAAAAGGACTGATCAGTGTCACAGGCAAGACTTTTAAAAATTCTAATGCCATTCCTCAGGCTACATTTTACTTCACTTGTTCTGGCAACATTTACTCATGACAGCAGTGCTCAGTGTATATTATATTCTAGGATGTGGGATTTCACAGTAATATTACTTCATTGTTCAACATTAACCAACATATATAGTTTAAAAAAGGAAAGATATTCCATTACAAGAGTTTATCTTTGGTGCAAGACTTGTAACTGTTTAGTACACTTATTTCTCAAGCAGCTGATCTAAATTACACTGCTTGGAAGAGTATTAGGACTTTTGAGATGAAAATTAAATTGAAGCAGCTAGATTTCAGCACTGCAATGTTCAAGGGATAATAATGGAATTTTAGACATATTCTGGAGAATGTTAATTTCAATTCTCACAACTACTTACTGAAATAATAAGACATTTGAGTTCTTGTAAAACTCAAGTAACTCGAGTAATGCTGATTTTTGCAGTTAGAAAATAACTATAAATACAAAAGTAGTCTACGCTTAGGCTGCTGAAATAAAAGACCTCAGCTACTTATACTAAGACCTAAAGGGCAGAAGAAAACATATATAGGCTGCAAAGACATACTATAACAAAATCCAACTGGGCATTTTTCAGGTGTGCAGATTAAAAATGACAAACAGTAGGATATAAACTAAAGTACAACCTTCACACCTGTAATTTCTGGCCTTTTTCACTCCTGTCAGACTTCCAGTTCATACAAAGACATGAAATCCCTTACTTGAATCACTGTTTTCAGTAGCCCCCTTCAAACCTTTAGTTCTCCCTCTTCTCTGCCACAGAGGCACATGGCTCTGCTGTGCCTGACAACTCCCTTGGCAGCCACAGCTCTCACCTGGCCAGCCACTGCTGCCACACAGAGTTGCTCACCTCATCCTACACATGAAGCCACAACACTTGCCCCATGACTGCATGGGCTCCTTCTGTGCTGCCCCACACCTGCTTCCATGTGCTCCAACACACACTGAGGACCACACCTTTTCGTTCTTCACACAGTAAGTATCTAGTGTTAAGGCCAGAGCAGAATGGAGCTTTCCCATTTATTGAATAAAATGATTTGCTATGGCAGTGTTATTTCAGTGCAGTGTAAACCAGCCTGGGTGACTCTCATGGGCTCTACAGCCAAACCCATTGCAGGGAAATCCACAGTGCCTTTTCTTCTGAAAGGCACCTAGAGATTGATCAGCAGTTTCTGGACCAAAGGCAAATAAGTGAAAAGAAATGCCATAAGCAAGAGAACACTCAAATGCCCTTGCAGCATTACCTTCCTCACCCAGAAGTGCTGACTAAACTTTACCTTTGCTGAAACGTAGGATGCAGAAGGGAAAGGCTCAGGATCAGCAGAAGTTACCACGGTGCACAAAGGAAAGGGTTTAGTTAAGCAACTCTTCTCCATCATACGTGGAGTGCCACATACACACCACATCATCAGAAAGGCAAGGAATAAGGGGAAGCACGGCTCTTTTCTGTACTCCTGACACAGGAGAAGTACAGGGAATCTCCAATAACTGGGACATAAGGTTTTAATTTTTTTTTGCCTTGTATGTCAGGGCAAACAGACTGCCTGCAGAGAGCACTCTTTTAGACAGGACAAGCAGTTAGGTGTGTCTACCTAGTTGCCAATTTATTATTATGAAAACCCTCTACAAAAACATGCCCATTTAACCAGGATTAACACAGTCCTGGAGGCTTCACTTTGCATGTTCTTTGTGTATGTGTTTCATGCATCTTTATTTATTTATAATAAATAAATAATGCTTATTTATTTATAATAAAATCCTTACCTATTCCAAAATTTACTTTATTTCAAAGAGGTTTATAAACATGGGTTTTCTTCAGTAATAGTTCACTAACAAACTCGAAGCTATCATTAGCAAGACAAAAAAACACAGGTATTTTGAGAATGAACAAGAAGTAAACCTCAAAATGCAGAGTTATTGTTGGAAGATTAATTCTAGCTGCTGATATCTAACAGGGCAAAAACCTAAAACTAGACACCCACACTGCATACATTAAGTAGATGGAAAAATGAAATGCATGTAAAAGTTTTGTAAACTCTATTCTACATAATTAAAAATGACAACAGGGTTTCAAAAGTGTCTTCAGTAATGCTCAATGGAGGGCTAACTTAGTTACTACACTGGCATACCAGAAAACATTTACATGTGCAGAACCAGAGGGGACATCTTCAAACTACCATTTTTTTTAAAGAACAAACCATACTAATCATGTGTGGCCTTCATCACAACTCCTTTTCACAAAAATATTTATAGAAAGTTTCAATAGTCAGTTTAAACAAACTTGTTACAGAACACGGATAGATCTGCAACATTTGTAGTACTCCTTCACCATGCACATAGCATTCTCACAATGCACCATTTCTTCTGAAACATATAATACATGCACTAGTGACAGTATAAAAATAAACAGAATCATTCTGCTAAAAAAAATAGTGTAAGAGTATTTTTCTAGTTTCAAAAACGCATATTATTTTTTTCCAGATGCTTAACAGTATTTTCTCTTACAAAAATGGAGATGTTCTGCACAATTTTGATTCCACTTGTGCTCACTTCGAATTGCATTACATATCTAAAGTGTTACTATTGCCCAAACTTTCGGCAAGAGCTCTTAATCTCTACTTAGGCTGAATTACACAATGCTTAAAAATATACCTAGTATTTCTAGCTATGTTCTAACTTTATTAAATGTTTCACTTACTCTTCATTGTCCCAATAAATTATGTGTTTTATTGAGATCAACTCCTTTACAATTACTTCTAATAGGCAAGATATATCCATTGTAACTCATCACTTGTATAATTAAATAAAAAGTCCTACCTTTCTCAAAGAGCACAGCATTCCTAGTGCAAAAAACTAGAATTCAGTTTGAGGCAGAGCTGCACTTCTCTCGTATTTTGAAAAAAGTTGACAAATCTTACAATTGTCAGAGAACCGTTCAATTAAAGTCTGCTTTAAACTTCATAATCCAAAAATGCTGTAAGAGTCCCTTTTCTTCCAAGAACTTGTCAATGTAAGGTTGACATCCAGTCCCACCAGCCATTTAAAGAATGTGTATAAAAATCATTTAATTGGAATATTCTATGAAGCAGGTAATTTTACTAAGAGCTCAGACATTGAAACATTGATTCCTGTTAAAGGGACACCTACACTAACCAGTCTTCAAGGGTTGATTTAACAATAATGTTCCCCCAAATCTTATTCCAAGAGATTTTCTCTCTCTCTCTCTCTCTTTTTTTTTTTTTTTTTTTTAATTAGAGAAAGAAATTACAAATCCAAAAGTGAGTCCATTTTTGGGGCAAGAGGTGGGTTTGCTTTGTTTCCCCAAACAACATGGGAGAGAAGGTCCCTTTAACAAGGAAGGAGATATGCATCACTTAATCAGGATGTGGGAATGGAATCTGTACCTATGGGTAAATGGCAATGCGTTCTGTGTTGGTTCAGCCCTTGGTTCTGAGTTCTGCGTCACTTCTGGCATCGCTCGCTCGTCATCTGTCCCATTAATGCTTTCCGGAGTTAAAGGAGACTGAATATCCCCTCCAGCTGATTCCTTAAGTGAACAAACAACACATTAAAATTATAAACTGACCTGCCCAGAAAGGTTATGTACATAAAGGCACTAACATCCATTCTTAAACAACACACAAATTTCAGCTAATATTATTATAATGTTCGGATTTCCAGCATCCCTCATGGTCACATTTCATCATGTGTATTTAATATAGAAGCATATTACCAAAAGATTCACATTGTCTTGTACAAAACACAAGTGGTCTATGAATTCTTTGTAAGATCCAACCTTCCACTTATTACAGACCTCTCTCACATGGAATTACATTCCACCCTTATTCTGATACGTGGTGGGTGACTCTTGACACTTGGAAATCTTGTCTCATACTTTACATTCTAATGAAGTGAAACAAATAATTCTGGTATTTGTTTCAAAATCTAGCTTTTGTTCTGTTTATTAACCAAAGTGAACAGTGGGAGGACCAGTTATGGTTCCCAGTTTCACCTATGACCCACCTGTAAAGAACACTTGTATAGCAAAGTATAGGCATTCATAGGCATGCTAGCCTGGCCTAGCTCTTGCTGGTCATGGAATTATCTGGGAAGGAGAATACACAGCTACACCCAGGTGTACACATAGCTATGGCTATGCAATTGGACACCTGAAGAACTTAATGGTTGCCTCCCAGCAGAATGCACTGCTGTGGTTTTCATTACCCTTCATCACACCAGCATGTATATTTGAGTGTACATTTAAGTATGAAAAAGAACAGAGTTGACAATATAAAGAGGCAAATAAATTATTCTATACAAATGGCATGTTTTTTCTTCTACTATTGTTATTATTTTTATTATCATCATCATCCAATAGGATAGACAATAAATGAAAGGCTTTCTGGATCTAAACGGTTTTCTTCTCTTTTTTCTTCTTCTCAAACTACATTATGTAGTCTAAAAAATTACATACTATAGTCTAAAAAAATCTGGGTAGCTTGTATCTTTAAGATAAAATTCCTGCAACACTACTACTAGATACATAAAATCAGAATCTACTTATTAAAGTGTTTTAAATGTGCACAAAAATTATTTCAATAGAACGGAAAAAAAAGTACAAGTTACATCTAGGCTTATTTTTCAGTGAAGTACTTCCATAGAATTCTAATATGAATGAAATTCAAGTAACAAAAGTTAGGGCAGAAAAACATCCCAGTCTATGTAATAGCTAAAGGATCGTGGTCTGGAAATTCATGAACAAAAGAAACATCAGTTTCTAGTGCGTTTCTCTTCCACAAAAAGTACATGTTAATGGGTGCTTTCACACATTCACAACTACCTCTGCCTGATAAGTAATTTATTTGCAGACAAGTCTAATGGAGCTGACTCTGAACAAAGCATCAAATATAATAGAAAAAGCCACTTACACGGAAAAGATTTTTCACAAATGTTTACAAATAATATGTGCCCATTTTATATTAATTAGAAGAGTTAAAAATATTTTAGAAACATTTTGTAAGAAGTGCATCTGTAATTAAGTTTTTATTGCATACCGTTATAACTTCACATAACCACTCCAGATTTTACAAAATTGGAAATGACATTGTGCTCTTTTGTATTTAAACTAAACATAATTGTGGGGTATTCATCAAAAAACATCTTGAAGTTCAATATCTTAAAATAAACCCCACATGCACTTAGAAGAGTCCTTAGAGTAAAAGAAGAGTCCTTAAAGTAAAACAAGTAGACATTACATTACAGATCAAATCAGCTTTTAGTAATAACAATAAGGAACAGGAAAAAAAGGAGAGGTCAGTGGCTCTAAAATCATGAACAAACAGGTCCAGCATGTTTAGTGTTGTAGAATACTGTCATCTCAGTAAGGATTCCATACACTTCCCTGGCATAGCTATTTTTCATGGTGCTTCTCTGCACTGGCTGGCAATGACATGAGTCTCCTGGCTACTGCCATCCTAACATGTATGAAACATTTGCTTCAATATTTGTTGTAGAAATTAATGTAACCTCGCAGAACGTAACCTATGTCACAAGCTCACAAGTAAATTTTGTACTTCTGCAGAGAAAAAGACAAAAAATTATAAACCAGGATCATTTTGCCAAAATCAACTACTTTGTGCACTAATAATTATGTGATTGTAAAACTTTTCAGGCAGTAATTATTCCTAATAATTTGCATAAGAGGGGCTCAGAATCACAGAAAAGACTATTCTGACTAAATTACCCCCCCACACACAATTTCAGAAACCAAAAATGTTCTTAATCTGAAATGACCAGGGTAAAAAAAAAACTATCAGAGGACACTCATCCTTAGAAGAAAAGAACTGAGGTTCAGATGCCAACTGGCTGGGGTGAAACCTCTCGAGACTGATGGTATACAACTACACACTGTACAAACTGCTCTATTTGGTTCTGTACTCAAACGTAATTAAGGTTACTTTTAATTTAAAAAAGGAGTGAGGGTAGGTGGACACAATTGTCAGGCCATTGTTTAATGCAGTTAACTGAACTCCAGATCTACGTGTATGTGCATGGAGAAGCTTTTAACTGAGAATGGACCATGGGTGGTTTGCCACTGCAATATCCATGAGTTGATGGCAAGAGCAAAATGATTCCCCATATTACAGGATGAATCTGGGAATTAGGAAGTGGCAGAGCAGGGGAACCAGTATTCCAGTTTTATATAAACATGCTAAGAGGACTGCAAGTTTTTATTACCTAAGGCTCAGTTAAATGGACACCAGATGGTATGGCTATGTGCATAGGTGGCCTTAGAAGTCCCAAAATAGACAACTTCTTTCTAGACAAAAGCCTCCAGACATACCAGATATAGAAAAATTCTGTACTATTATATGAATCTGTCTTCATACAGATGGCTTTAAAGTACAGGTTGTCTGACAGAAACAATGTGTTTCTCTTCATCTTGAGAAAGCCCAGTGCACTCAATGGGACTTATGTACAACAAAGCAGCATCTCTCTTCTAATTTCGTGGTCCAGGCCACTATCTTTCTCTGAACAAATTCCCTTTATAGTTAGGGTAGATGGTGATTTTATCTATTATCTGATATTCTGGAAAATTAAAGTAAAGCTTGCTGGTAGACAGGCAGAGAACAAGCAGAATGAAGAGTTTAAAATTAGCAGCAGCATTGCTTAGGGGAAAAGGAACTCCTGCTATTAAGTAACTGCAAATTAGGCTATGTATGGTTTTATTTCTACCATGTGTTTAACACATACTAAAAAAAAAAATTCAGAAGAACATAATCCATCAAATGAAATGAAGTATAAAAAAACCCCGCAGAACTTCTACTTCCTGGTCATTGAGGCACTTTATAGGAGCAAGACTTTGCTAAAGCACATAACACCTGACAGAATCAACCTAATTTTCATCATCTTCTGTGGACATTAGGCAAAATTGCTCTGAAGTTTTAGCATGGCTAGAGTCTGCTAAGTATTTGAACTACAAATACATACCCAGTTTCTGAGATATTCTTGCTGTTATCTCTTAGTTTCTATTTCTCTGTAGTTCTCAAGTTTTTGCATGGCATTCAGAACTGAAACTCACATGTAGCAAAGGTACTTTCAGGCTTGCATCAAACAATAGTGAACAGCAAATGTCTTGTGTAGTGTTTTGTTACATTAGTTGTAGAGATATTTCATAAACATTCAATCTGTAAGGGCATACTGAGGCAGAAAAGTGCACTTTTACTCTTTTAGAATTCTGTAGTAGAGAGGGTGGGAAATGTACCATATCCAGCACTTGAATTAACTGGTTAATAAAGAGGACATTTTTTAAAGCTTTTAAAGTATCAAGAGAAATAAGACATCCTAGTTAAGTTTTAAGCTTGATGTGCATATTTTCCAGTTTTGATATGCAGTACTTTCCTACTTATTATTAATTTAACACAGAAAGATATTTGCATATCCAAGGCTGCAGAGGGACTGATCCCTTTAGATAACTGAATTACCCTTAGAGAGGGTATATGTAGTTACCCTTCATATACCTCCCAATGTCTTTCCTGTCAAGGCTGTCAAAGCTCCATTAAAAAAGCCAGGTTCCTGCAAAGTGTTTACTGACCACTAAAAATATCTCCTTCCTCTTTCACTCTCCCCCTTTGCAATGCATCACTATGCAAAAGGGAAAGAAGAGCTATAAAATTATTCAGAAAGACAACAATTGAATTGTTTGCCTTGCAGCCGCCTTTTAGCAGTTGATGTCTCATATGTCTCTACAGTCCCACCTCCCTCCCTAGTACCAAGTAAATCCGACTGAATGAGCCCAGTACTACGAAAGTGCTGGAGTTTGCCATGATGTCATTGCTTCTTACCTTTTCTAAACTCTGAAGTTCTTGATTTGATTCCCTTCTCTCTAGGGAACTAGTATGTGAAGACTACTATGCTTATGATGCTCATGTGTCAGCACTTGGACTAACTGTATTACTCAGAATAATACACGACCTTATCAACACAGTGAAAAGCCAAGAGAAGAAATGTAAGGCCTGAAGAGGAAATTATTCTTAAGTGTGCCATAATGAAATTACAGCCCTCAACAGGCATTATAGAATCACTCAGAGTAACATTTCTGTAACTGCCTACCGTATAAAATGTTAGGTTTCAAATGTAAAAAGAACTCTGTGCAGGAAAATGAACAACATTAATAGCTCACACAGTGTAAGAGAAAGCTTAAACCCTGATGAGCTGCAAGACAAAAACATCTTGTCTCTGAGTGAATAGCTCAAATTTATGTCCAAACCACATAATAAGTCACTCCATGTGACAGTGTCAGATTTAACTTCTGAGTCCAAAATATTAATCAATGTGTCAAAAGAGAAGCATAATATTTTTTTGCCTATAACATCAAGTAACTAGAGGCCTGGGTGAAGCACTTCACTGTTTCTAAAGTCAAGTGTATATTATTGACAAGTGTATAATTTTGAAAAACATAATTCCCATTGTCTCTGTAGAATTTATCAGAAATTTAGAGACAATAAAGTAAATTCATAAAACTCCCTGCCTTATTTTTTTTTCTATTTCAGTGGAGCAAGCAGTTTCCCATTACCAGCAAGAGCCAGCCTAGTGTTTGGGCAAAATGCCTACTGAGGAAACAACACGAGGCTTGTTCATTGTGTTCATCTGATTTCCACTGACTTCTCTTGGTAGGACACCAGATGAATATTTCTGGTAGCAATAAAACTATATGTGCAGCACGCTACAAACTGCCTGCCATCCTTACTCCATCAAGGAGCCTATTACAGTAAAAAGCACTGAAGATACACTGATTCAATGAAAAAAAGACTCCCCAGAAAAAAAGGTTCAGTCTACTCAACTCAGGAATCCCTGATGTAGTTTTAAAGCTGTTGCATTCTCCAAGAGAAGGAATTGTCTTTGTCTTCACTATGGCTTAAAAAAAAGCAAACAGCTGAGTCAAAAATCTTGGGCAGGGGGAATACAGGAGAGATGGGGAATAAAAACCTCAAGGAATTTCTTTTTTCAAAGCAAACTCAAAGTATTTGTAATAAATTTAGCCATAACTAATGTAAGTGTGACTATAGTAACTGGCTCTCCCATTATGCCCTCAATTAACTCAGCTCATGTTTTGAGATACCTTTTATAAACTCTTTCTGTACATCATGGCTAACTGTAATAAAACTCCGGAACCAGCCTGTGAATCTATTGTCTCCTTCAACACATCTCACAAGAGAAAACTACACAGTAGAAAATAAGTAAAAATAGTTTGCTGTTTCCACCTTTATTTCTGGTGCAATGATCATTGTATAAAAGTTATTTACAGTGCACCACCAGAAACAATAGGAAATAGTACAAAAAGTGTTTAGTATAGTTCACTTACATAACCATGTTTACTCATTTTCTTGAGAAAGCTGAAATAAAGGAAAAGGAATAAAGAAAGCACCCAATGTTATTTTAAAGCAAGTCCCTTTGTCTTGTTTGCAGTATATGTTAAATATTCTTAAGACCTCTTGATACTCTTGTTGACTGATGAGAGGATTCGAAGTAGCTGAGAATTTGCCTCTTAATTTTTAATACATATGTATGTAAGGAACAATAGAGTAAGTAGCACAGACAAGAAGTATGATGCTTGAATCAGGCAATAAGACTCACTTGAGAAGGTGTACTTGTTAGCTCCATCTTTTCATGGGATTTTTCCTTTGCTATTCGCGCAGCTTCTTTGAACTCCTGAAATTTTTCAGCAAACTGAGGTACATATGTTTAAAGAACAAAAAAAAGAAAAGAGAGAAAGAGTAGGCGTGAAATAATACATTACATGCAGAATAGAATACTGTACTTTGCATTTCACAAAGTCAAATTCTGTCAGTAATTTTAAAAAATTTTCTTCTTATTAGATACTCATTTAAATGAGTTACACAGTGACATATCTTTCAGGCATAATGCACAATCTTTACATGTCAGGAAAATGACAATGCAATGAAGCATGATCTGTTGCTGATAGTTTTAAGAAACTCACCTCAGAGATAGCTAATAATAGGGACAAACTGCCTTGCACAGCTGCTTTCAGATTCAGGCTTTACCCTTCTCAAACAAGAAATAATCTGCTTCTGAAGCCTAATGTGGTCACCATGAGCCTGGAAAACTTTCAGTGTACTTTGTTCTTTCATGACTGAAACAATACTGATGTCTTTCTAAATTTTACCTGCATTTATAATTTCAATAGCTAATTAGAAAAGCAACAGTGGAAATACTGTGTTCATCTCTAGAACATTCATTGACATCAATCAAGTTAAAGAACAAATTAATTGAACTAGAACTGCCTATACTGAGCACTAAATCATGAAATTGCACATGGAATTGCCATAGTAGGCTTTATTTCTATGCTACATGTATCTCTTCCAGAAAACAGCTAAAGCAGCAATTTAGAAAGATATGCCCCCTTAAATTCAAAAGGTCAAATCAATTAGTAAGAATAGGGCCTGAATTCTCTGGCTAGAAAAAAAATTTGCTTCACAGTTCTCATCTTTCCACTAAACTAATTGCTAGAGTAGCCACATATTTGTTTTTGTGTCCTACTGCTTTTATACAGGACATTATCTAAACATGACCAGCTTATGTGCAAAATGATTTTTCAAAAATATCAGAAGCTTTTCCAGCAACTTCTAAATCTCTTTGGCAGCAGCATATGAAGAAATTGTTTTGCACTTAATGTATATGACAGGTACAAAGGCTACCTTTTGTGTGGCACAACCTCACCAATTATTTCAATCAGAACTTCACTTACTACACAAGACCTAAAAAACCTTACTGTCTTTAAACCTTTTTCTGGTGGGCTACTAATATCTGAAGAAATGCAATTTCTCTCCACTTGTATCCTGTATTTCATTTGTTACATTATTTAAAAGCTTATTTTTCCTGAAAGTTTAATCCTGCATCAAAAAAAGTCTCAGAAGAGATGATGAAATTGGCAACAGATCACCAGAACCAGATAATACTTTTTTAAGACTTGTGCCTAAACCTCAAAATCTCATGGGTAACTTATTATTTAAATCAGCCTTAGGACCACAGAATTATTAAATGGCAAATATGATGCTGAGGTTTAGAATAAATGGCTGAAGACAAAGGCAGTAAATATGACAGTCATAGAAAAGTTTAAAAAAATATATAATATCATAGATCAACTCTAAGTAAGAGCCATAAAAGCCCAATTTGGTTGAGATTTTCACAAAATTTCTAGAATTCTCTGAGACAGCCGGGTGATGGATAATAGCTATCTCTTGATAAAATTCCTGAATAACAAAGATGAGGTCCATGGTATGTAAGAAGTTTTCTGGAAGATCATATTTTTAAGGAAAAGATGAAAAATTGTGCATGGAGACTATGTAAGGCTGCTGCCAGTGTCCATGGTGGCACTTTACATTTAGCATACTCTTTAAGTTTTATGGAATAAATCAGGCCAGCTAACTCAAGAGGATAAGACTGCAAACCCTAAAAGGAGCATTTCTTCTCATACATCAGGATACTATCAAAAGCATAGACATATTCTGAATGAGAAAGTAATCTTAATTTTTCCTGGTAGTGAAAGGACATTCTGTTTCTCCTACTGCAGCAGCAAGTGGGACTCTGCTAACAAATCATGGTCCTGTGAATATTCTCCAACACAGGTGTCTTTCAAGTATCACGAACATCTGATGGAGCAGTCTTGAGATGAATTTGTGGTCAAACATAGAGAAAAAGCCTAGAGAACAGAAATAAATGTTTAATTTATTTTCCTCTATACTGTTTGTATGTGAACTTGATTAGAGTGCCAATACTTTTCCATCAGATAGTTTCACTCCACTAATTCCTATTCACAATAATTGTACAGAAAAGAGGTTGCCATTGTTGCATTCTACTCAAGCAATTAGTTCAGAAGGACAGGGGCACGTGAACAAAAAAACAAACAGTACAAAAGTCACACGTACTACAAGATATGCAGACAATATTGTGAGAATAAACAGTTTATCTGCTGTGATTATTTATATTATTAAACTGTGGAAATTGGTCACAGACTAGACCAACTTTTTTTTGGTTGCAGGCTGCTTTATGCTCCCTTAAACCACAATCCTAAAGTGCTAGCTGTATCAGAGTGCTATGGTAAAGCTGGCTATGATGCATAGAAGTGAGAGTAAGTAATCTGAGGGAGAGACTAAACAAGAAAGAGAATATAGACATGATTTCTCTAAAATTACAGGGCAGATGTAAATCAGCTCTTCTGATTCCCAACCAAACATACCTGCCAGCTCCAGTGGTTTAACAGCTTCTAATCTAAAGAAAAGTTTTCTTCCCACATCAGTATGTTGATATTTTTTTAAATAACACAAAAAGTTTAATCTTTAGGAATTTTAGTAGCAACAACTGGCAATTGCAACTCATATGAACATCAGTTTAATAATTAAGATATAATAAAACAGGAACGGTATGCTGCAAAGGGCCCAGAGATTCACCATAATCTCCAGAAAAGGTCTGTGATTGTATTTTTCTTAATAAATTTGCTTGTTCTCCACAAAACAGCAATCTGAGTAACCGCTTAACAAAAACATAAATTAAGAAAAAATGTCTACTGTAGCTTTTTGGATTAATTTTTCAACAGCAATATAGACCCTTATGTCAAAGGACTATTTAAAAGTCCTAGACATCTGCTTGAGGGCAGTGAAAAGAATGGGATTGAAAGAACTGTAATTAAGAAGGCAACAGAGGGTGGGCAAGAGAAGAGGTGAGGACAAAGCAGATAAAAAAACCCTAGTGTATTTTCACTGGGAAAGATAACGTAGAGCTTGAAGTCAGGCAAACAGTGTGCAGGATGCTTTGCCTTCATCATCTGTGAATAAGAAAATAAGCTAGTCTACGAGAGCAGTAAACTAGATCAGCATTTGTGCTAAAGTCATTGAAACGTAAGAAAGCTTATTACCATGTTGGTAAGCAAATGCTTCTAGGACATACACACCAAATTAACTGACGAGGTTTCCAAGTTCACCGAAGCAATAGGTGTGCAAATGCACATGCAATACTAGAATCACTCAAAATGTCCTGTGTTTGTGTTGCTTTGTGGAAAGGAAAATCAAGTGATTATGAAAGGAAGAAATCTCACAAGTTTGATGCTTGCCCAAACAGAGTAGCTGTACTGGGTCTCATTTTAATGGTTTTCTGGCAGGCTGTGCTTATCCTTGGATAGTGGCAAGTATTTCCCAAAAGAGCTGCTATGATTACTCTTCCTTCAAACAGCTAGCCACCACTATCTCTTCCTGAAATATGTATTTCTCTTATTGCACTTGGGTGTCCAAATCTTTTCTTTATTTCAAATATGAAGATTTTCTGCTTAATATATACACAAATTCTTAAACTGAACTGAAATTCCTCATCTGAAGAAAAATCATACTTGTACAGGTTCCTGGACTCATCTACCAGGGCAGTAGCAAAACCAACAAGTAATGTAGAAAGGATGCTGAGAGGATCTATGCCATCCGTTTGAGAAACAGGGATTACTGCTTTCCTTGGAATGAGGTCTATTTCCTTCCCACTGAAGTAGACTAGAAAAGAAATTCACGTACGGCACATACAGCTTTAGCAAATATTTCAACTTTTGCATTCTAGTAGAAAATGTATTTTTCTTTTACACTGAATATATTTCCCACTAGCTTTATTTTAAGGTGGCAAACTTTGAAATAACAGTCATTTGATGTACTACATAGTAGAAAAGTGAAAGTGAATGTAGCCTAAAAGACAAAAATACGTCTGAAGACTACCAGCAGATTTTTCTAGGAGATCTAAACACACAAGAAACACTAAATTGTTTACTTTTTAAATTCTATTTTGAAAAACTGTAGCAGAAGAACAGTTCTTAAAAAAGAAAAACCTAACAAATCAGTAATCAGAAAACATTAACAACATAAAGCGTAATAGGCTTTAATCTCCCTCCTTTTCTTCATCAGTTAAAAGAAAATTTGAAGATATCACATTATGCTTGTGCTTTTATATTTTATGGATTGATACAAAACTTTTTTTGTAAATTATTTTTTAAGTAACAACAGTAGTGAGTACTGAGTCAAAATATAGTGAGTAGAAATAAAATACATTTAAGTAGCTTCACTAGCTGAAGAGTCACTACTGGTCATACTTACTTTCGAAAGGTGATGTTCAGACGAAAATCCCAAGCCATAGACTGTATTCGCCCTGCTGTCTGCCCACTGGCCAAACTTCTGGGATGTTTTAGTAAATGTCATGTTTGGGGTGATGGTGCTGTTTATTATTGCCTGAAAAAGGTAATAATTGTTAAAAATGGACTTCATGGTTTTTATTTATTTTAAAGACAACTCATAATTGAAAATGCCAATATTGTGGGCAGTTAACTTAATGCACTGAATGAGACACACAGTGGGAACTAGAAAACATTTTTCTAATTCAAACATAGCTAAAATTGCAAAGGCATACTTTTGCATACACTGTGTAAAAGGAGGAAAGCTGGGGAGAAGAGTAGGCATCAATTTGCAATTGCAAGCAGACCTTTAAAGGTTCTACATAGAAAGACTATCAAAGTCTTTTTTGTCTCACACTTGTATTTCTTTGTCCCCTATGGCAATGCCTCTCAAGTTGCCTGTTGCTCTCCCCCAACCCTGTTGATTATGAGATTCTCACTGAAAAACACTCAATAAAACAAAGGAGCACATTTTCTTTTTAAATTTCTGTTCTACAAGAGTCTGTTTCCTTAACACACATACAAGCAAGGTTAATAATGGCAGGGTCATACACCAACTACAGAATAATTTTTCTTCTCTGGTTCTTGTTCTTACATCTACAGGATGCAAGAATATCATCCTCCAGCATGTAACTTCTGATAATGCAAACACAAAATGCAATTTCTAGGTGATATGCTGGTTCTGCTAAAAGCAATGGAAGTTTCACTGTGGATTTCAACAGCATTTCCGTAACATTAAAGAGTACATAGGTAAAGCACAAACTGTACAAATGTGAAGAATGTCACAAGATTTTCTCAGGATGGTGACTGAGAAACTTCAACATCACAGAGACCAAGTACTGCTGTCCTAGGACCAAGATCCTCTAGAAGTCAAAATCAGTCTATACTACTTGAATGTTATGGATTTCTGGATAGATATTGAAATAAGTAGTTTTTTAAAGGTGTTTACTTTGCACCTTTTGCTTTTGCTGAGAGATTTGGGTACCACTGGAGCACAGCAACCATCAGATTAAAATTTTCTGTGAATTCTACAGGACAAGCCTGAAAAAATTAAAGCTGAGGGTCCAGCCAAGCTCTCAAACAGCACCCAGCATACATGATTCTCAGATGAAGTGGAAAAGAGGACTATTGCAAGAAAGTGCAAAAGAATACATTGTAATGCAACATGTAGAAAGACTAGCAAAGATACTGCAGCACAGATAAATAAAACTCTTTCTTGGTGACTTTGGCAGCCTCACTATACTCACACTAATGAAGATGAGCAAATCTGAACATAGCCAATTCTTTCTGATAATCTTCGCATCCAAATACAAATTCTGCCTACCACTGGGAACAACCCCTTGAAAATTCTGGAATGCCTGAAAGCTTACATTTGTGCTAAGAAGCCTCATCAGATCAACGACAGGATTTGCTGTGTGGCCAGAAAATGGAGGACCATCTCCAGCATTATCTGGAAGACATCCCTCAGATTTTCATATAGAAGCTGCTCATTGAAATCACTGGGACATGAAACATTATTCTCCTTTGTTTAGGTATAAAGTTTGGAGCTCAAATAAAGCCATCAGACTTCTTGCACACTCATCTCCAACTGACTACCTTGAAAACAGCCGTCTATAACACAGGACAAAAGAGAGAATGTGAGACAGGACTTCTCTGAAAATATGTGCTCTGGAACCCTTTTTTACTTGTATGCTTCTTGTCTTCTTTTGCACTGTTAGTGATTGGAAGCTCACTTTTGAAATAACCAGGTGGAAACCCAGAAGAGAGTTGTGCAAACTCATTTAATGGATAATCTCACTTCCTGTGGAAGTGGTCAACTGTAATATGCTTGAAATTAAATATCCTGGGGACTATGTATAACAAATTCTTCCTCCCAGCTCGAGGTCTAGCTATGTTTTCTAGTTTGCTTAAACCCAGGCTCATCCATTGCTTGATTAATTGAAACTTGCATCACATATTAGGGAGCTTGAGTATTATGTCATGGACATAAATTCCTCAATTCAGAAGACTCCTGTGCTAAGACTCCAGAGCTAAGACCTCCAAGTAGAACATAGGTTTAAAGCCTTCACAGCTGCCATTTCCTGCAGTGACAGCAACTTAGCTTGTTGCAGTTTAACCCAGTCAAAAACCTGGGAGAAATGCTTCTGCTGACCACATGACAAGCTACAGCATGGAGAACATGAACTGAGTGCCTGGTCCAGAATTGGATACCTTTTTGACAGCCATCTGCATTTAGTTTGGGTCACGTTGACTATCAAATTGCTTTCTTGCAAGAGAGAAAGGTAGGAAAAAAACTTTTTGAAAATAATTGTGTTGAGAGACAGCTGGCTGTGATTCTTCCCTTTACTTTCCAACAGAGAAAAACAAAGAGGCTTCAATTGTACAAGGAAATCACAGTTTTCCATCTTCTCTAAATTGAAAGTCTTGGTATGCTAGGTCTCTCACATTCAAAACCATGATTTAAAAGTGTAATGCTAGAGCATCCTACAAATACAGTCCAGTGTCAGCTACCTCTGGAAAGAACTAGATACCAAACCTTCGTATATTTAGCTTAAAAAATGCATATTTTTTTAATCAAAATTTATAATTAAGCCTGTCTTGTCCATTCAAATGGGTGCTTCTTTAACTGCTCTCCTCTAATCCAGATTTCACTCCAGAGTTATCAGTATAACAAGTGTCAAATATTTAATCAACTTTTAAGAATGTTGTTTCCATAAATGAGCAAGAAGATCTTAAAAACAGAACAGAGTATATCTGACAGGAAGACATTTAGCTTTTGCAGAAAACTGATTTAGTTATCTTCAGGCTTTTTTTGAATTATAAAATAGCTTTCATGTTTCCCTTTCATATTACTTTAGCGATGAGAAAATAGGGCATGTATCTGAGCTGTTCATTTTACCGACTGCAAACCCAACAGCTGCAAGATATATAGTAGTGGTCAAATACGATTTTATGTTGTGCTAAAACTAATGGTAATAATTTAAGACGCAGAACTTTCTAACTTTTTCAAAGGAAAATCACAGAACACTTGTGGGTACAGGTCTTACTTAAAACGTTTATTGAGCATTTAAAGGATTGTCACTTTAAAGTGAGACAGTAATTAAGATAACAAGATCATCTCCAGTAACACTGATGGGAGACTTGACTGAGCAATAATATATGCAAAGTCCATGGAACCTGCACACTGGGGAACCACTCTTTTCCAGAGCCCTCTCTCATTCTAGATGACTATAAAATTTTAAGTTTGTTTTCCTACCTTGTATCTGTGAAAAAAATACCAGAGAGTTAACTAGTATAGCAAGAACCACATTATTCTTGATCTCCTTCCTTTTCTCAGAGATGGCGAGAGACAAAATGGAAAAGACAGTGGGACTCGGAATAATCCTAATGTCTGCCTGTACTGTTATTGGAGAAATAATGGAAGCTTTGTTCCATCACCCAGGAGAAAGAAGTACTAAAATACATTTTTCCAAGGAACTCTGAAATGGGTATATAATTAATGAGAAATGAAAGCCTTAGCAACAACTGCTTAACGTTGTCATGCCATACTTCATAAGAAATCTAATTCTTCAAGCTTTGTCTTGATTCTGGGACTGATAGGAGAAAAAGGTCACATAAAAGATATTTACTCAAGAGGTCAGAGAAACCAGATTCAAGTTGTATCAGATTACTTGCATCAAGATTTGTCTGCCATGGGCAACAGGGCTCCAAATATTGTGCATGACAATAAAATACATAGTCTGTACACTGAACAACTAATAGTCCTAGAACACTTTTTGTAGTCAAAGTCAGAGGGACACACCTCGTATCTGCTGCAGGATATTTCAAGAGGAGACTGTAGCTTTAGAAAACATTAACCAAAATGCATTAAAAGCAAGCAGAAGTTGCGTCTGTAGGACCTGTCTTGACTAAATCGAACTAAAATAAGGAAAAAAACCCCCTCTCTTTCAAAATTAACAAAGGCAACATAAGCAAATTCAGGTTGGAAACTGCGATGCACGATAGGGGAGTGAAGATCATGTCTTTAAATGTCCTTTTGTTTCCAAAAAGAAATATTCAATGACTCTCAGATAATCAGTATAGAAGTTAAATTTTATTGAGGAATGCTTCTGAAATGCACCAACCTAGAAGAGGGGAGGGTGTGGGACAGAAAACAGGATTACCACTCAAATCTGAAGTATAACTCTCTCCAATATTCCTTACTGCAGTCTAGGTGAATATGTATGTGAGCTGCCTTTACTTACTGGCTTACTGCTCAGCATCTGAGAACTGAGCACATCAGTCTCTCCACTATACAAACCCCAACAAAGCTGTAAACCCCACAAGCCTCCATGTATACAATAAAACCTAGCTGGATTTATTCCCAGGAGGGAGGGGCATGACAGTTTCAAAACCAGTAGGATTTGACAAGTGGTTTTGGCAACGTGTATTGTCAGCAGCGCTACTGACATGCAGCTGGATGCCATACATCAAAGACTCTCTCTGGGTGCACTCAAAAATACTTTGTATTTATATTTAACTGTTTGCACATAAAATATTGTATATAAACAGACATGCTAAAAAAAAAAAAAAAAAAAAAAGAAAGATGGGGTTTTAGGTTAAAAAAAAGAACTGTCTGGGAATTATGATGGAAACCTACTTGAAATTCTTCCATGTGTCCCTCTGCTATTCACCCGCATGTTTCAGAGCAGTGTTGTGAACGCCTGAAAAAACTGGACTCTCTTAACCAATGACTAGAATTCTAGATCTTCATGTAAGACTTGGATGAAAACATTATTAGGATGGCAGCACTCACAGAGTAAATAAAAGTGATGAACTGCCTTATCAATATATCTTGCCATTAGTACTGGATATAAAGGGAATGCTGTGGTAGACAAAAGAAGAACTAAATAGGTGAACAACTATTTGACAATTTAATTCAGCAGGCGTTGCAGCACCAGGATGAAGGCAGAGAAACCTTAGTGGATGTCAGAATAAGGACTTTGTATATTCTCCAGATCAGTTAAAGCACTACATTTTATAGTTGGTAGTCTTGATTTCATACATCATCTAGTTCCAATCCCAGTGTCTTTATTCATAAATATTGACTCAAAAGTTATTTTAATTATTTGACAGAACTAATTGGATCATTTGAAGAAAGGTTGAGAAAGAAAAAAACAAAGTAAGACTTAAAGCTGGAAAAAGTCTGTTAGGCTCTGATACCAGTCTCAGCCACATGAAGTAGAGATTTTTGACTATGGCATCAATTTCTATATACTTCTTTGTGATAGAAAATCTCCTTTAACATTTAAAATAGCAATATTTGGGGTATTTAAAAAATGCAGGGTAACAGTTTTCAGTTTTCAATAAGTAGTCATAAAATCTCTGTGAATAGCACCATGCTTTTTACAGAGTACTTAATTTCCAATCATTGTGAATGGATGGATTTCCAAAAGCTTCAAATGAAAGTCCCTGGAAAGGATCACAACTTTTGATTATAGTCTGTATATTTTTAATGCCCTTAGTGTAGAGTTTTCTGCTACTGTTTGTAAAGGTAGTGTTATCATAGCTATGTGGGTAGAGACAGACAAGGATTTTCTGCACATCAAATTAATTTCTTAGACAACATGTTTTACAACAGCAGCAGCTGAGCACAATATCCTTTCTAGTTAAAACAGAAAAAACCAAACCAAACCAAACAAAAAAATCACACTAAAACCAAACCGAGTCTAGATAAAAGCTTACCATTTATTAGGCAGGCTTTATTAGGAGGCAATCCTCGTATTCTCTACAGCAAAAATTGGAAGATTACATAACAAAGGATTTACTAAGTGATTATGGCCACTGAACAGATGTCCTTCATAATGCTGAAGTTAATTATATTGATAAATGTCTGAGTACAGAAACAAAAACAAGTTGCTGTGTAACCCTATTCGTACTTTATGTACAATTTTCTGTCTTTTTATCCTTCTCATTGCATTAACCAAGGAACAGGTCATCACTTCAATCCAGCAATAGTTATTGAAGTCAATATAACCACACAGAAAACCGAATTTACGAATAAACACATAAAACATTGTCCTAGGGTGATGTTATGGTGTTTCTATCTCCAATCGTGTGTCCTGATTATGTTTGGTATTATGTCCTGTGCTTCCAGGACTGAGTCTGAGAGTGAAGCTTTGTTTTGTCTTGTTATCAGCCGGCTCACCTCCCCCATGGTCTATGTTTAGGAGAGGTTTTAGCTCGGCTTGCTTGCTTGCTTGCTTGCTTGCTTGCTTGCTTGCTTGCTTGCTTGCTTGCCTGCTTGCTTGCCTGCTTGCTCGCTTCTGCCTTTTTCTTTCCTTCGCTTTGCCCTTGCTTTCTGCTTATTAGTTAGTTCAGCTAGGCAGTCCAACTTTTTCCCTGGACTGTTTTCTCTTCCACCCCGTCCCCTCCCTCTCCTGGATACCATCTGAACGGACGGGGACCTGGGAACCCCAAGAAACACCGGGAGGCTACACTTTGTCACCTGCAGCAGTCATCCCCAGCGCCAGAGACTGATAACTGAGCGACCACTCGCCAGAGAGACTGAGTTTGTCATCCCTTCAGAACGGTGAAAGAGTTTTTTTGTCAGCTGGTGTTGTCTTTTTTCCCTGTGCTGGGGAGTGTCTTGCTTGTTAAATAAACAGGTTTTTTCTCCCACTCTTCTCCAAGGAAATTCTTCCCGAACCCGGTGGGGTGGGGGGGGAGGAGTCGTGGGGTTTGCTGTCTGGGGGCTCCTTCTGGAGGTTTTCCCCCAAATTTGCCCAAAACCAGGACAAACATATAATGAGGCAATGTTACCATTTTAAAACGTAAGTAATCTGTTGGTCAGATAATGATACAAACATCTGAGAAGAAACATGAAGAACATCAAACTGGAAAATAGTAACAAAAATGTTGCAGGCATATAGGTTTTCTGAAATAAAATTTACCTTTGAGCCATCCAAACTGATTATCCTGTAGACATTTCTTGTGCTGTCATAAAAGTAGGACACAGTAACAGCATGCTTGCTGGTGGGAACCCAGTTCTTCTTAGTGTTTGGGTCAATCTGGAAGACGTGAGCTCGGGTGCTGAAGATGGGTTGTTCCCTGAAGGACAGAGAGAAGAAGTCGTGTCTAATTTGTACATACTACCATTGCACACAAGCTATCTTCCAGTTGGGCCCATTTGGATGTAAACAAGTTACTCTGCGTGATAAACCTTGCCTCATGATTTCTGTATGAGTTGCTGCATAGAGCAGGTAAGTTTGTTAATACACATATACAAGCAAAATGCAAGTCTTCTAAGGCAAAAACCAGGACCCAGTTGTGGAGTCAGATAAACAGAGATACCTCTAATATAGATTCACCACCATCCCATCATCTCCCCAGCTCTTCACTGCCCATCTATCCCTTTAAACTAAATGGTATGAATGCATGTGTAACTTCTCTCACTACACTGCACACTACAGAATATACATGACTCAAGTCCACTTCTTCTGCAAAATCTTCTAATACTCTGATTATTCACATCAATTTTTATGCCACAATCTGGAACGGAACTGGCTGATTGAATGCAATTACTCTAAAACTAATATTAATTAAGGCCAGGAACATGTGTTGTGAATCCCTCATTCTTTGGAGCTTTACATCTGAAGGTATTTATACTAATAATAAATAATGTATAAAATACATTTTTAATTGTAAATTGTTTAGCAAATAAAATTATACAAGGCAAAAAAAAACCCTAATTAAAATTTAGAATTTACAATTTTTTTCCCCATGACCTCTACCAGGAAAAACAGAAATCTAAAAACATTTTAATATCACTAAGATGGTGATATGATAGCCTTCTACGATAGTGACTGTATCAGTGGACAAGGGGAGAGCTGTGGATGTCAGTTACCTGCACTTCTGTAAAGCCCTTCATACAGACCCCTAAAACATACTTGTCTTTAGATTGCAAGAGATAAATTCAAGGAATGGACAGTTTGGTGGATAAGAAACTAGTTGCACTGTCATATCCAGAAGGTAGTGATTAATGGCTCAGAGTCCCAACGGACACCAGTTATGGTATGTTCACCAAAGACATAGAGAATGGGACCAACTGCACCCTCAGCAAGTTTGAACTTGACACTCAATCTGAGTGGCACAACTGACACAGCTGAAGGATGGCATGATATCCAGAGAGACATGTACAAGCTTTAGGAAAAGGTCCATGTGAATCTCATGAGGTTTAACAAGACCAAGCGCAAGGTGCTGCACCTGGGTCAGAGCAAGCCTGGTACCAGCACAGGATGGGGATGGACAGATCAGAGCAGCCCTGCCCAGAAGGCCTTGGGGGTGCTGTGGTTGAGAGGCTGGACATGACCCAGCCATGGGCACTCCCAGCCCAGAGAGCCAAACGTGTGCTGGGCTGCATCCAGAGCAGTGTGGGCAGCAGGGCAGGGAGGGGATT